TCTATACACTATTAAGAGAACTTATAAAGCTTTGCAATTCTCTTTTGTAGTGAAGGTTTTAATAAAGAAATTATTAAAAAAAATTGTTTTTTCAAATACAGTACAGTAATAAATCAGTGTTTCCATGTTTCATCTAAATTTTTCCACAGCCAGATCATTCCCATGTTAAGACATCATAGCCAGAAGCCTCTTTCAAGTAACACCTCCGAGAGAAAATTTAAATATAAATAAGAAAAGAAAAATCCATAGCCTTCGAGTTTCCAAGCGGCATTCCCCTTTTTTGTTCCACACGCGTCGGGCGTACAAAAAGGGGGGTGGAAAATAAAAGTTGACAATTTGTCTCCTTCTGTTTCTTCCGACGAGATATTAGTACCTGAAGTTCCTGTGCAGTCCTTAAAAGGAGCGGTTCATGTGTCTGGCATTAATGAGGATGTCGGAGAGGAAACAGAAAATAAATAAACTAAAAAAAGATAAGAAATCCGGATAAGGAAGTTCCAGAGTATTTTAGCATTCCGATCTCGTTCCGATCACGAATCACTCGGGATCCTGAAGGTTTTGCATGTTGAAGAAACACGACGTCGTAAACAAAAACACTGTTCAAGTTACCATATCATGCTCGAGTCGAGNTGTGTCTGGCATTAATGAGGATGTCGGAGAGGAAACAGAAAATAAATAAACTAAAAAAAGATAAGAAATCCGGATAAGGAAGTTCCAGAGTATTTTAGCATTCCGATCTCGTTCCGATCACGAATCACTCGGGATCCTGAAGGTTTTGCATGTTGAAGAAACACGACGTCGTAAACAAAAACACTGTTCAAGTTACCATATCATGCTCGAGTCGAGAGTTGTTTTTTCTTTTCTTTCTTCATTCTATTCATTTCGTTTTTATATTTCCGAGCCCAATTAGGAGTGAGAAAACATTTCGACAAACACACACAAACTCACACGCGATCCGCATAATCTTTTTTATGGACTTTTATTCCACTTGAACACAGGCAGGCATGTTTTAATTTACAATTTAAAAATTCGAATTATAAATACAATGCACGTTATTCAATTGATTTTGAAAAGTTTTTGCCTCGCATTTTTACATACTTCTGAAGGCTGAATCTTGAAAATTTCCAGAAAAATTTACAGTACATTCAAACTAGCGACATCCTGAAAGCAAAAATTTTTAAAATTTGACTTCAATTGAAATGCAGTGAAATATCATCACAAAAACCTCATTAAATTTTTTTAGGGTCGTTGCAGTTTCTGCATAGCAACCACGTCATACAATTCTCGTTATAACAAATTATATTTATTCTGTTATCTCAGTATAACATGCACTTTTATTTCACTTGAACATTATGCAAGCATGTACAATTCAAAAATTTGAATTCTAAATCCAATGAACGTTATTCAATAAACTTGTAAAATTGTTTTTTTTTCTCGCATTTTTACGTGCTTATGGGGATCAAATTCATTTAAAAAATGATTCGTAGAAAAAGTTCATTCAAAATGCAACACAAATGTCGTAAAATCTCGTTACAACGAATTATACTCCATCTGTGATCTCAGGATAACATTTTTTGCCTCGATTCCATGCATGGCCATAGTGATTACTTGAAAATTGACATTATTTGAAAAATAAAGAAGAGTTTACTTATGCTGAGTCACAATTTATGAAAAATAACTACGCCAAACTTAGCAATCCGGAATAGAAAATACCGAAAATTTTTTTCTCGAAATGTCTTCGGCTTAATTTGAGAATGAATGTTTTTCTTTAAAATAAGCAATAAGCTGTATACAGAGAAGATTTCGTTTGAGAAGATAAATTCGTTCATTCGGGTTATAATACCGAAATAGATTATTATTATTATTATTATAGATTATTTTACATCATTGTTCGCAGTCAAACGGGAGAATAATTTGAATAGATTTTTCCAGATTCAAAATTCTGAACTCAACAGTACTTCGCCTTCATCCTCTCGTTTTCTGTTCTTTCTCACATATAATTTTTTCTTCTCAAAACAACACTAATCAATCACGGGGGAAAAAATCGCAGACTCATTCAAAATTTCTAAACACGCACGAGTTTACGAGCTCGAGAAACACATGACGCGTCACACATTTTTAGACGCAAACAAATTAGGTAACACGCGTAAGATTCAAAAACAAATTCTACGCGGAAAAGTATTTTTCTTCAAGGCTCAAGCATGGTTTTTTTGTGACACAATCTCAAGAATTGCAAATCTTTGCACACATTGATCAGTGACTAAAGCAAGTGCGTTGCTATCATCATTTCTTCTTTTCTCGCAGTAAAAATAGCACAATTTATCTCGTAGCATTTTTTAAAAAGCTGCATGGGGTGAATAAAAAGAAAGATCCGAGATGAAAAATATTCGGAAATGAAAGTTCAGGGGAATTGAAAATTTGTACTGCTAAGAAATAAACGAAGTTCCTTCAGCACAGTTACATGTAAAATAATGTGCGTTTCAAATAATGTACTGTTTACTTCGAACTTAGTAAAATTTTAATAACTCAATAAACTTAATAATGTACTGAATAATATACTTCAAAAAATTGAGGAAATAAAATATTTGTACTGTACACGAATTTATTTCTTTGAAAAATAGTCTGCAAACGTTTCTTCCACAAATCATGCGTAAGAGAGTATTCCAGAAGACAAGCTTATAAAAAATACATGAAATCGTAAAATTTATACAAAAATAGAAAATCATATAAAATATATATAAACTCATACACCTATATAAAATTTAATTTCCTTCAGCAAAATTAGAAATTATGCGTACGAGCGTATGCCAGAAGAAAAGCTTATAAAAATACTTGAACTTGTAAAGTGTCTATAAAATATAAATTACAAATAAAATATATATGAAATTACACACTTATATAAATTTCAATTTCCTTCAGCAAAATGACAAGATAAAATAATATTCCTCAGCTCTGCGCATGAAAAAATTCCACTTCCACCTAAATGGGAGATTTTTTGTTGTGGCAAACTCGGAATAAAGTTTCCAAGGGAATAAATAAGAGTTATATAACAAAAAATTAAGAAAAATCTTTCGCACGATAAACAAAAAATATTCGATGCACGGTGAAATCATGATTCTTTTACAGATTTCTCATGAAACTAATGAATAAACCGAAAACTCACCCGACATTCGCATCGCAGCAATGAGC